TCAAATAGCAAATTTACTAGGATTAATTTTGAAAATATATCATTTATGCCTATAGAGGAGTAGTACTGGAGTCGATGATAGGACGGGTATTCTTGCGAAGGAATATATCATTTGCAAGCCTTCATCAGCCCCTCTCTGGACCTCTTACGGCCAATAACTAAAATGTGAGCCATATTTCAACATTTTTAACATTCATAAGTATCAATAATAGAGAATTGGACATAAAGTTTTTATAATTATAATAATTAAAATTCAATTTGGATTCTTTGTTACTTTACACAGTATTTTATTCAATAAAATAAGCCCCATTTCAGAATAGTGATTAATTAGTTTACATCCCAATACTTGCATGATACTATCAGAAAATTTAACCTCAATGTTACTAGCGAAATATTAGATAAATATTAAAGTAATAGAATTTATAGAATATTGTTTAATATTAGATTTGATTGTGAAATATTAAAATAATTATTACTGTAATTCAAACATAAATATAACACAAATAAATAAATAAACAAACTCAAATCTAATTGCATTAAAAATGTGGCTCAAGTCTACATTGATTGTAAATTCTTGTTAACTAAATATAATTTAAACTAAAATACTGTAATTGTTTTTGTTTAAATCATTTATTTGACAAAATCTCAAAACTATTGTAAATACTGAAGAACTTGTTTACAGTATTGTTAGCCATATATAGAGACAACTAGTGGTTGCAAAACAAGGATAGATTAATAGGATTGATGGATATTTGGGTTGAATTGATTGATTGGAATAAGCAATTAAAATGTTAAAGTTATTACAATTTTAATCATATAAATTGGAGCCAAAAATTTGCAAACATTAACACAATTAGGTTTGAAATAAATAAATATAACTGTTATTAATATTTACAAAAATATATTTTTTTAAAAGCATTAGAAAACTCTATATCAGAAATTTTGTCTAAAAATATTTCATTTATATTAGTGTATATAAAAACAAATATTTAGTTAATTTGTGTTAAAAATAAAATGAATTAATTTTGATTTCGTTTCACTCATTACTGTAGAAAAATATAAAATTCAATTCAAAAGTCATATAAGTTTAAGGTATCTCTGAGTTTGGACGCAATGCTCTCATAGAATTGGATCTGATTGGTGAGGAAGTGGTGCATCGCCTCCTTGAAGTCGACGACCCTCTCCTCTTGGAAGTGATTTATCTCAGCCATTGTCGACAGTGTGACCACATCTGCGCGTTGGTTGATCTGCGCGACCGACTTGTCATCGATCTTTCCCTCGTCTAACATCTTCTGGTGTTCCTTCTTCTTATTGATGGCCCCCTTATGGACCTGAAGGATCTCCGGCCACGCCGTGAGTATGCCTTTGTATTCGTGCAGAATGTCACACATCGGGCCGAAGTCATGCTTCGGTTGCTCCAAATATAGTCTTCCGATCGCATCGTATGTATCGCTCGTGTGTTTGATAGCATTGTTGAGCCTATCGTTGTTGGGCTGTCCGTCCACTCCACTGAAGGCGAACGCATCGGACAATGTATGCAAAGAGTGGGCTATTTTGGAGAACTCGCGTTTGTAGGGACCGCCAAACTTCTTGCTCTGGTCTTGTGCTGTGATATACAACAACTTCACTGAATCATCCATTTTGGACACAAATCGGTTGAATTGATCCATCTTTCGGTCCACAGTCTGTATGTCGAGAGAGCTCGACATCGGCGGCGGCTGAACAGCGAAGAAGAGCGACGCGCCGACCAACTCGTCCTTTTCGGCCTTCCGTTTGCCTAATTTCCACTTCTTCTCGTCCGCAGCACAGGTCATGAAGTGTTGCCAAACCTCGCACTGGGAGAGCACTGGATGTCTGCAAATGCGTCTAACCCACGACTGGAGTTGTGTCCGCCTGTGTTCAATGAACTCTTCTTGATATCTGCCAGAGATCTGTTTGTCGGGCAGTGCGGGGATCGGGATTGTGGTAAACTTATCCTGAAGTCTTTCGTGCAACCAATCAAAGTGTTTGTAACGACGGCTCACTTGAATATGCGTCGAGTCGGGAGTCAACTGATACGCGATATAACTCTTCAATCCTTTCATTTTGCTCTCTTTCTTGGGCTTATCGACCGACACATCGGATGGCCTTTCATTGGGCGCCCACTTGAATGTGGCCTCACTTTCCAAGATATATATGAAGTCATTTTCATTCACTTTCAATGTCTTTATGCCTAATATATAGTCTTCTCCGCCGGACTTCACGAAAGTGGAGAATCGGTTGAAACTCTTGCGAACCGTTTGCTGTGTCTGTTGTTGCGGTGCTTTCGAGGGATGGCCCGACACTGTGATGGGTGCCAATTGGGATGTAGGAGTGGTTGCACTCGTGGGGTGTGGGCCCGAGTTGGAGGTCGGGTAGTAGTCGTAGTTGGACTGCGAGTTGGAGGCCTGGCTGTCGTCGTCGTCATCCCAGTCGTCTTCACCCCAATCTCCGTCTCCGAAGTCGTAACTCGACTGTTGACTGTTGGCGACCACCTCTGCCTCGGGAGCCAATGGCTCGACATAACCGGCCGGAAAGAGGCCCACTTCGCCCCTCTGGTTCGTGCCCTCCCACCAGCCCTCCCCCACGTCCTTTCGGTTCACTAGTCATGTGGCAAATGAGACAATTAGTGGTCAGTTGTCGACCAAACCTCATGCCATACAATACCTGTCAGTATTTCGTTGGCATTAATACTGAGTTCTCCAGAGTTTGGCTGAGCTTTGAATTCATACAACACTTTCACTCGCATTATACCAATGATTTTGACCACAAATTAATGCATTTGTCTCTCAATTATATGTCTTATATTCAACACTTGATTACGATTTCAATATAATATATAAATTGTTAGTTAAATAATTAACAAAATGTATAAAATATAACAAACATTTACTTTATTAGTAATCAATTGATTACTGTTTAGCAACACTTTCTTAACAATCACTACATTAATGATGTTTTTATAGTGTACGAGCGGTTCAGGTATTTATGCAATACCTGTCCATAATTTCTCAGTAAGGTCCATGTATATTTATTGTTTATTTAATTTAAATATATAATCAATGGTCATCGAAATGTGAATATTATGATAATTCAATAGTAATACCAAATAAACTCAAGTTAATAAATCTATTTCTGTAAACCTCATCCCCTTTGCAATTATGACATATTATATGAATGATTGCAAACATATGTGAAACTCCCACTTGACGTGCACTTCATTCACATTGCAGTGAATTGATTGAAGTTTTATAAGAAATATTTGATTAGAAATCAATGAACACTCAATGAATAAGTTATAGACTATAAAAGTTATAATAACTTTTGCACAACTATTGCTCCATTTTCTAGTTCCTATTTATTTAACTTATATTTATAAGCCTTAAACTCTATTTATCTGATATAGTAAAATATAAAGTTTGAATAAAGTTTTTATGCGTTCTGAATGAGAAATTCTGATATGACCTAGCTGCTTAACGCGTAAATTACTTATTTGGCTCAATTAGCTCAATTTTCTAGGAATAAAATAATTGCAGCTATTATTTAGTAGACTTTAGCTGCGATGAGCACTGGTCTGTATGGCTGGACAGGGACTTAATGGGAGGTTGTATGTATGGTGTATGATATGGTGTGGAGTGGTATGTCTGGGATAGTGAGCAACAAGTGTTTTCTGTGAGAATTTCCTACAAGAAATGCCAATTAATTGGACAATTGTTATGATAGAGTGGTTCGAGTTAAGGTGTGTCACAAATAACCGTATTTTGGGTTTGAAATAATTGGACGAATGCTTTCTCCATTGGCGTCCACACACCACACATACATACATACAGAGTATCTGTCGATCTCTAAAGGATATGAAAACCTGTTTTCCGACTGCTTTATGGCTTAAGTAATTAGAGTTGAATTCCAGTGTCAGGTAATGACCTGAACTGACGAGTACTCACTCTCAGCCAAATGAGTCCAGCGTTAGGTTGGCTGAGCTGAGGGCTGACTGACACTCCTTACACTCTTAGCACTTGTCTTACAACTTATACTACAAATTAAAGTCATTTTCCTATTTATAGTGTTTTCAAACCGAAACCAAAAGTTTGTTAAAAGTGTTGTCAAATAAAATACCATTGATTTACATGATTTGCAATGCAATGAAACCGCAGAATAAGTGATAATTAATTAATTGGTGAACAAAATGAAGTGCTTTGGGTTGCGCGAGAAGCGCAACTATCACTGTAAGATTGTTCTGCTCGATGAGACACAACTGATCCAAGAGATTCAGGACAGATCCAGAGGTCAGGATGTGTTGGATGTGGTGTGCAAACACCTGAATCTACTGGAGACCGCGTACTTCGGTCTTCGGTTCATTGACGCCAAAGGTCAGCCGTGTTGGCTGGACTCGAGCAAGCGTGTGATGAAGCAAATGAACCAGGTCAACCCCATCACTCTCTACTTCAACGTCAAATTTTACGCATCAGATCCGTGCAAATTGCTCGAAGAGATCACCCGATACCAGTTCTTCCTGCAAATCAAACGAGACATTCTTCAGTCACGACTTCCCGTCCCTTTTGATTTGGCGGCTGAACTGCTCGCTTATGTGGTTCAGTCCGAGTTAGGAGACTTTGACCCCAGAAGTCATAAAACTGGATATATATCCGAATTCAGACTTTTGCCGAACCAGACCATTGAGTTTGAGACCAAAGCTAATGAACTGCACAAGAAATTGGTGGGTCAGGTGCCCTCCACGGCTGAAATGCACTTTTTGGATAGAGTTAAATGGCTTGACTTGTATGGGGCAGACCTACATCCTGTCCTCGGAGAGGATAACATCGAGTATTTCATTGGTTTGACGCCCAGTGGGGTAATAGTGTTGCGGAATAAATCAAAAGTTGGAAATTATTTTTGGACCAGAATTCTGAAAATTATTAGAAAAGGAAAGTATTTTATGTTAAAAGTTGTCGATAAGAATAACGAAGAGAAAACATATGGCTTTGAATTGAGCAATAAGACGGCCAGTAAACAGATCTGGAAGTGCTGTTTAGAGCACCAGGAGTTCTTCAAATTGACTCAAAACACGTCTCAGACAAAGACAAAACCCGGTTTATCGCAAAGATTTCGAAGCAGTGGTCCTGTAGTTAAGAGAGACGAGAATCTAATCGAAAGACCGCCGCCAACAGTGGTAAGAGTTCCGAGCAGACGATATCAACGCAGAATGGGTCAGCCGGACGGTGCAGATGCCGGTGCTTTAGAAAAGGATGAGACTTATAAGGAAAACGGTTATATAGAAGTGAAGTCTAGTATTCCAATGCCGGCCATAAACCGCCACAACTCGAGTCCAGCCCTATATAAACCCCATTCCATGCATAGGGACACCCAATCACTAGTGGGCACCTCTTATAATACTCGCAGCGAAAGGGGTTTGTTTTCCAACTCCACAAACCCATCGCCGCGTTCAGTGAGAAGTGCCTCATATATAGCCACCAACTATGGTATGACACCATTCCTCGACTATAACGCCAACAGTTATTCACACATTCGGCGCAACTCTTCGTCAAACGTCTCGAAGTCAAGAAATTCTAGATTTTCTGATAACGAGAGCGAAGTGAGTAAATGTTCGCGTTCTTCGAGACATTCGCGTCATTCTCAACATCGATGTCGACATAGAAGACAGTCTGAAGACAGCGGAACAGAATCTGATTCGTCACGAAAGCGCAGACACAGACGAAGACACAAGTATTCAAATGCAAACACCAATTCACACAAATTAGTGGATTCTGAGTCTCAGTGGAAAGACCTTCAGAGCAAACAGAAGCAAATGAGTGATCAAATGGACGGACAGTATATGCGGCCGAATGTGGCTCAGAGTGCAGTCGTTCGACACGTTTCCGGTTATATAAACTCAGGTCTGGAGAGCGACACCGAAACCACTCGTAACTCAACGTTGAATCGGAACAAAAAGAAACAGAGATCCCGATCCAAGTCTCCCGATGTTAACAGAAGGGATAGACTGCCTTCAGATATAAAGAAACATTTTGAGTACCAATTAGTGGATCCGCTGTCTATGACAGAGAACGAGAAGAGAGACATTAAATACACGAAAATAGAAACCGATAGCCGATTGTTTAAAATCCGTTATTCGCCTTCTGGTAGTAGACATCGATATAAATTAGAAAGCATTCCTTTAGAGACCGAATCGTT